GTATCACCAATGAACATAGATGCAAAAGTCCTCAACAAAATACTAGCAAACTGATCCCTACAATACATGAAAAGGATCACACATCATGATCAAGTGGGATTTATCCCAGGGATGTAAGGAGTTTTCAATATCTGCAAATCAATCAATGTGATACAAAACTACTAGAACTCTTCAATGAATTTGGTTAAGTTGTTCAACACAAAATTAATGTACAGTAATCTGTTGCATTTCCTTTTTTTTTTTTTTTTTTTTAGGCTGCACTGTGAGGGATATGGGATCTTAGTTCCCTGGCCAGGGATCAAACTTGTGCTCCTGCACTGGGAGTGCAGAGTCTTAACCAGTGGACCACCAGGGAAGTCCCATCTGTTGCATTTCTACACACTAACAACAAAATATCAGAAAGAGAAATCAAGGAAATAATCTCATTTACCATTGCATGAAAAAGAATAAATTACCTAGGAATAAACATACCTAAGGAGGCAAAAGACCTGTATTCCAAAAACTGTAAGACACTGATGAAAGAAATTGAAGACAACACAGATAGAAAGATATACTGTGTTCTTGGATTGGAATAATCAGTGTTGTTAAAATGACTATGCTACCCAAGGCAATCTACAGATTCAACGCAATCTCTATAAAATTTCCAATGGCATTTTTCACAGAATTAAAACAAATATTTTTAAATTTTATATGGAAACATAAAAGACCTTGAATAGCCAAAACAATCTTGAGAAAGAAGAACAGAGCTGGAGGAATCACACTCCCTGCCTTCAGACTATACTGTGAAGCTACAGTCATCAAAACAGTACAGTACTGGCACAAAAACAGATACATAGATCAATGGAACAGGATAGAGAGCCCAGAAATAAACCCAACGCACTTATGGTCAAGCAATCTACTACAAAGGGGACAAGAATATACAATGGAGAAAAGACAGTGTCTTCAGTAGGTGGTGCTGGGAAAACTGGACAGCTACATGTAAAAGAATGAAATTAGAACATGCACTAACACCATACACAAAAATAAACTCAAAATATATTAAAGACCTAAATGTAAGACCGGATACTATAAAATTCCTAGACGAAAACACAGGCAGAACACTCTTGAAAATAAATTGCAGCAATATATATATATATTTTATTTTGGATTAGTGTCCTAGAGTTATGGAAATAAAAGTAAATGTAAACAAATGGTACCTAATGAAAGTTAAAAGCTTTGGCACAGTGAAAGAAACCATAAACAAAATGAAAAGACTGGGAGAAAATATTTGCAAATGATGCAACAGACAAGGGATTAATTTCCAAAATATACAAAGAGCTCATACAGCTTAATATCAAAAAACAAACAACCCAAACAAAAAATGGGCAGAAGTCCTAAACAGACATTTCTCCAAAGAAGATATAGACAGCCAAAAGACACAGGAAAGATGCTGAATATTGTTAATTATTAGAGAAATGCAAATCAAAACTACAATGAAATATCACCTCACACCAGTCAGAATGGCCATCATTTAAAAGTCTACAAATAATAAACGCTGGAGAGGGTGTGGAGAAAAAGGAAGCCTCCTACACTGTTGGTGGGAATGTAAATTGCAGCCACTATGGAGAACAGTATGGAGGTTCCTTAAAAAACTAAAAACTAAAAATAGAGTTACCATAAAACCCTTCAATCCCACTCCTGGCCATATATCTGGAGAAAACCATGATTGAAAAGATATATGCACCCGAATGTTCATAGCAGTACTATTTACAATAGCCAAGGCGTGGAAGAAACCTAAGTGTCCATCAACAGATCAATGGGTAAAGAGGATGTGGAATATCATTCAGCCATAAAAAGAATGAAATAATGCCACTGGCAGCAACATGGATGGACCTAGAGATCATCATATTAAGTGAAGTCAGAGAAAAACAATTACCATATGATATTACTTATATGCGGAATCTAAAAAATGGTACATATGAACTCATTTACAAAACAGAAATAGAGTCACAAACAGAAAACAAACTTATGGGGGGGATGCGGGGATAGATTAGGAGTTTGGTATTTATATATACACACTACTATATATAAAATAGGTAAACGACAAGAACCTGCTTATAGCACAGAGAACTATACTCACTATCTTGTAATAACGTAAAATGGAAAAGAATCTGATTAAGAAAATATACATATATGTATAACTGAATCGCTTTGCCATACACTTGAAACTAACACAACGTTGTAAATTAACTATACTTCAATTTAAAAAAATTTTAAAAAAAGACATCCACAATCAAAGGAAACATCGAAAGCAGAGGTGTTCTGCTGCCCCCTAAAGTCAACTCTATTCTATTACAACCTTCCTGTCCCATTCCTTGGTATTAAAAATTGGGTCCCAATGAGGTTACTGAGATCAATTTACTGAAGTTTACCCCTGGAATGAAGCCATCTAGAACACATAATGCACAGTTTATCTTCCTACTAAAGTTTATCTCCCTTCTTCCATTTAGTAATCCTACCCTCAGTTATCTAAGCAAAAGAGATGAACTGGGAGATAGCTAAGGAGATTTTGGTTAACTCACCTTCCATACCTCCCTGTCCCTGTTCCTTCAATCCCCTGGGGCTATCAATCAGTCAACTGCAACTGGGCATTGCAAGAAAGTGAAGAAGAAAATAGTGAGTTGTACTACTGAAGAAGAGAGCGACAGCAAGAAGCTAGAGAAGGAAAAATATTTATTATGATTATAGCTGTACTTTATTATTAATTTTTTTAATTCTAAAGGTGATTTGTTTGTAGTTCTCCACTCTAGCTACACAGGAGACTCAACTGGGGGAACATGTATAAGAAAACAGATGTCTACATCAACTAAATCAGAATCTTCTGGAAATAGGGCCTCGGCACTGCTATGTTTAAAAGCTCCCTCAGGTGATCCTAAAGTGCCACCATAACTAACAAGCTTGGTCAGCTTCAGTAATATGTAGATTAAACCAAAGGTGGAGCATATGAAATAGTTAAGCTTTTTCCATGAGAAAAGGTCCTCAAAAAAGGATGACAACTTCAGGGTAGACATTAAATAGCTAGAAAGTAAGTTTTCTATCACAGAGGCTAACTCAAATGCTCACAGGAGCCAGAAGGTGAAAATTCGATTTTTAAATGATAGTTAAAAATCATAAATTGTGCAGACTCAAGAAAACATGCCATATAACCTCAGGCCATATCTGGGACTGTGGGCCTTATTTTTTAGCCACAGTATTACACAGCAATCTTCAGGCTCAAGTACGTAGTTAATTGTTGACTAAGACTGCTAGATATTAAGACAAACTCTTTGAAAGTCTGTTTCTGCTTATAGTAAATTGCAAGGGAAAAAAGGGAACAACAGTACTGATTCACTTCGCTGTACAGCAGAAACTAACACAACATTGTTAACCAATTATACTCCAATAAGAAATAAAAAAAATCTCTAAAACTCATGGGATTCATCTGAAGAACGAGTCTAGTACTTACCTACAGAAATAATTATAGTTTTTTGTTTATCTATTGGTGAATAATGTGGAAATGACAGAAAAGATTTCCCCCAAGTGTAGAGGCAGTCTGACTTAAAAGGAGGACAGTGCTGGGAGAGACAATTATCCTCCACAGCAGCAGAAAGTGAAGATGGATGAAAGGGCATGATATCACTGAGCACAACATGAGAAAACGAATTCCTGATTTTCTCATAGGCAACTCTACATAGAGTGCTCCACTTAGGAATTACTGTATTTTACAATGGCGAATTAATTCTCAAGAAATAAAGGGTTGAGGACTAATTCTCAAGCAATAAAGGGTCCAGTTCAAGCAACGAAATGATTCATTTACAAAGATTCCAAAACGGTGTTTTTGTTTTTTTTTAAAAAAGGCGATGCTCTGCCTTTAGTTTTCCCTTAGCAGTCTTCATACTGGGTAAAACCCCAGTTTTTTGGTCCAAGGTGTGAATTCACACTCATTTGGTATAAAAAACAGAGACCTAATCGGAAGGTGTGGATGCTAATTCAGATTTGCCACAGACCATCCTTATCTGCTAAAATCATTATTCAAATAATTAGATCCCGCGTTAAGTACTTGGAACTATCCAGATCCCACAGAGTTCCCACCTTCAAAGAGCTCTCAGTCTGGTCATTTCAAAGGAAGATAAGAGTACAGCGTAATAAATGCCGTGACATTCAAAAACTGGGTACCACACCGCGAAGGTGCGTCCAGAGATAGCTTTCTTTCGAGGCACTTAACTCAAACGTCTTAAAAGCCGAAAAGTATACTTCCTCTCTCCTGACTGGTCAAAAACCTCGTCTGGAACCGGCCCTCCTCTAAATTTTGTTTCTTTATTAGCCGCCATCCCTATTCGAAGACAACCTCAACCTCCCGTCTCTGCCCAGAGTGAAACTGCTCTGAAAATTACTTTTCTTCTTGGTGTCACCGGCAGGTTCTTCTGTTCCCGGAGAGACTGCAGCGGAAGAAGGGGGCTCCGGAGTGGCTGTTTCTGGGGAGACCTCCGTGGGTCCTTCACCTTCAGCAGCAATTGAGGGAGGAAGCTGCAGCGAAGACTCCGGTTCCTCAGCCATCTTGCTTGGAGGGAGGTGAGGGCGGAAGTGGTGGCTCAGCGCATACAGTGGGCGGGCTTTGCGTCGGAGAGCGGCGCTAGGGAGGTGCCGGAGTAGGGGCGGGGAGAACCCAAACCACCACTGAGAGTCGGAATTGCAGGTTGGTCCTCTGCGTCGAACCTGTTGCAGTCCCCTGACCGCTGATAGATCAACTACTGTTTCTCCGCCCCCCCCCCCCCCACAGCAAGTTTCCGGAAAAGGTCGGTAGGCAACGTCCCCGTGAGCCTCCGGGAGCGCAAGCGCCCCTATGCTTCGAGCTCCGGCCTGGAGCTGTTTCCGCTTCCCTCCGCGCCGACCCCGCCCAGGCCCCGCCCTATCCAAGCCCTGCCCCGCAGCTCCGGGGGGCGCGCGCGCGCGCGCGTGTGCGGGAGGGGGCGGGTGGGGAAGGATCGCCAGCGAGATCCTGAGGCGAGGCTCGCGCGCCCGCCCCCGCCCTGGCCCCCAGCTCCCACCCGGTCGGCCCGGCTCAGCCATGATCAAGGCGATCCTCATCTTTAACAACCACGGGAAGCCGCGGCTCTCCAAGTTCTACCAGCCCTACGTGAGTACCCCGCTGCAGCCGATTCGGGCTAGGGGGAGTCGTTGGCGGCCGGCGGCGCCCTCAGGTCGACCCCCTCAAGCGCGCCGCGGCCCTTCTCGCGCCCCGGCCGTCTCGCGCTCCGGGCTGTCAGCCTCCCGGTGGGTGTGCCGGGTGCCCACCTCCCGCCGCGCTCCCTTCCTCCGACGTGGCTCTGCCCAGGTGGCTCCTCCGCCTGTCTGTGGGCTGGGTGGCTTCCCGGCTGCGCGGGCGAGGCCCTGGAGACTTCCCGGTGCGGGGCCGAAGCCAGTCGGTCAGCCGCAGCCCCCCTGCGCCCGCGAGCCCACCCGGCGCTCTCGCCGATCTGCAGCCCGCGGCTTCTGTTAGCAGCCGAGGGAGACGGCGCGGAGCCGGTAGGTCTCGCAGCTCCACCTCCGTGACTCCCAGCCTTTCCTGGTGGACTTCTTTCTCTTCTCCTGTGGACGGATGGGCTACTGTTTTTCGCTGCCATCCTGTCGTCACGCAGGAACTTTGGTTTTCTGCGTTTGGAGACATGCACGCTCAGTACAGTCTCTCCAGTAGGTTGCCTTACGGGATCTACTGCCCCTGTGACTTTCAGGTGTCTCCTTTTTAACGGAAAAGATAAGTGAGGACCTAACGTTTTTATGTGGCTTTTCCCCCAGTGGCTGCAATTTATCTACTCCTGCAATAACTGGCGAGGATTGTAGTTTGACCAGTTAGAACTGTGATGCTATACCTGAAAGTTACCATTTCAGCGGCTGGTTTGGCATTTTTCTACGTAAGGGAGTTTGTCCTAATTTATAGTTTTTCTTTCTCCTTACGAAGAATAGTAATATATGTTAAACTCTTTTAGAAGTGTAAATATTGTTGAAAAATGCAGAAGATTTTAAGGTAGTGAAGGTAAGTAATTTATCAGTGTTTGAGGGAGGGTTACAGACAGATGTGCTTATCTGAGGGCAAAATTCACCACTATGTAGAACACAATATTAGGCTCTCAGTGGTGGGATTAATGTAGAGATAATACCTATTGCGTAGTATTGGGAATTTTGCTTAGAGCCAAAAAATGAGCTTTCAGCTAAATACTGAAAGTGTGCCAAGGCTAACACTTTTATGCAGATAAATCCCAGATGGAAATCATTCCTGCCGTTAAAAATTAAATGTGAAATGTCACTGCCTAAAATGATAATGCAGTCTGTGGAGGTGTTAGCTGAAGTGAGAAATCTTGAGCTCATTCCTCATTTCCTTAAGTAGTTTTGCTTTTGCTGGCGATAAAGAATATTTTCTACTACTCCTGTTTGGTTTTAGTGTAGCATAATTTAAATACTAATGCTCTAAGAATTCTACATCATTCTTTCATCCAGGATAAAATTCTAGTTGATTCTTCTGAGTGGAAAAAATCCCCTTGACTTTACATTGCTACCCATTTGCCTAAAATATAGTACTGTGCTAGCCTTTATTGAAGGAATCTTTCTTTTAGCCATTTTGCCTGTGCCATCCATTTGCAGTGTAGAAACAGTGTGTTCCAATGGTGAAACAATTTTAAAATGTGTTTTTCCATATCTCCACTTAATAACTAAGCACTAATCAAAGTAGAAGGTTTCATGGCTAATCTTTAATATCAGTGTAACTACTTCTGTAGTGTAGAATTTAACCACGTACAGAAAAATGTATTGAATTTGGAAATCCAGGAATACATCTTTCTCTTGTCCAACGATGGCAACAGAAATATCTTTTACCTTACTCAGTAGGTAGCAGTGAAGGTTAATGTGGGAAGAGACAGTTGTTGCAGCAGTGGCAGCTCTGGTGTCATTTATGGTCATTGCTACATGACAGTGTTTTGGGGGGGGCAGGGAGCTAAGAGATGTAAAAAAGAAGAATCTAGTGGTTGCTGGACGTGTGGAAGTGGGGATGCTAGGAACTGTTACTGGTCTTTTATAAATTGAGTTTTGCTAACTGTGTATTTATTTTTGTCATTCAGGAATAATTTAAGATTATTTATTTATTTATATATTTGCTTTCTCTGATAGATCATAACCTGTTTGAGGGCAGAAATCTTTTTCATTCAGTCAATTCATTTATTCACTCTTTATTCCATTTGTTTGTCAGCAAATATTGATGTCATGCCTACCATGTGCAGGCAGTGTTTTAAAATTTGGAGGTGAACAAAGAGATAACTTCTGTTCTTTCAGCAGGGGCATAGACAAAGCTAATAGTAGAATATATACCATGCCGGATAATAATAAGTGCTGTGGGAAAAATAGAGCAGGGAAGGGTGATAGGGAATGCAAGGATGACACTTTAAAATAGGATAGTCAGGTAAGTTTTCACTGAGAAGATGATATTTGAGCAAAGACTTGAAGGAGGTGAGAAAGCCAGCCTTACAGGTATCTGGGGGAAGTTCTTTCCAGGCAGAGGGAGCAGCAGATGCAAAGGCCCTGAGGAGGGAATGCCTGTTTGAAGAACCTGTCTTATTGGAAGAATAGGTGCCAAGATGACTGGCCTGGCAAAAGCAGACTACGTAAGGAAAGAGGAGTTGGAAATGAAGTCTGCATGTACAGGGCATCAGAGTTTATTCTATTCTCACTGCCTGGAATGTCCTTCCCTTCCACTGCCAAATGTCTAGATTCCATGCTTAACTCAAACATCACTTAAGCATCCACTGAATCCTTTTATCTTGCCTAAAGACTTCTCTTGGTTCTTAGGATTTTATTTTTATCTTTATTATAGTATAATATTCTATTTCACATCCCAAAATTCCTTGGAGCATCCTATAGATTCCTTAAAGGAAGGTATCAGGTTTTAGATATACTTGTGTTACCCCCAGCAATCAACATTCAGCCTTGAATATAAAGAACTCCATACATTTTTGCTAAATGCATCCATCAGAGTTTCCTAGCTTGAGATGGAGTGTGGATTAGAAATGATTTCCTAAGGTTCCTTCCAACTCTTTTTTTTTGGCTGCGTTTGTCTTCATTGCTGCACGCTGGTTTTCTCTAGTTGCGGTGAGCTTGGGCTACTCTTTGTTGCTGTGTGCGGGCTTCTCATTGCGGTGGCTTCTCTTGTTGAGGAGTGTGGGCTCTAGGCGCACAGGCTTCAGTAGTTGCAACGTGTGGGCTCAGTAGTTGCAGCGTGTAGGCTCAGTAGTTGTGGCTCGCGGGCTCTAGAGCGCAGGCTCGGTAGTTGTGGTCCATGGGCTCAGTTGCTCCGCGGCATGTGGGATCCTCCCAGACCAGGGCTCGAACCCATGTCCCCTGCATTGGCAGGTGGATTCTTAGCAACTGTGCCACCAAGAAGTTCCCCTTCCAACTCTTAAAATTCAGTCCTTTATTAACTAGAAGTTTTAAGAATCCATGCCTTTAGGACAGAAGTAATGATGAAATAGCTGTAACTGCAACTGTTTGTTTTTAGTTGAAAGAAGTCTTTAAGAAGTAGATATCCAATAATATTGACAGTTTTTAGTTTAATTTATTAAGGGATATCTAGGTGTGTGGCTGGGGTACCAGTTCTGTACTCTGATAGGATGCTGAGGTTTGAGTCCAACAATATTGATTTGACACTGAGGAGTTTGAAAACTGTTTAACCATTTGCGAACCAGTTTCCCTTACTGCATTGGATTTCCATTTCTTATTTATCCTCCCTCATGATACAACAATTTATATGTTCATCTTTACCCTTTAATAGTCCATATTTCCAGTTCCCGCTGTAATAGATTTTTAGGTTTGATTGTGCCTCCAACCTGCTGTTATGTGAGGGACATACGAAGTCACACCAGTTTTTCTAAACTGAAGTTTTTGATTCATTCTGCTAGAGTCAGACGTTAAGATTTCAAGGGTGGACTCAGAATGCATCCACTTTTTTTTTTTTTTTAACATCTTTATTGGAGTATAATTGCTTTACAATGGTATGTTAGTTTCTGCTTTAGAACAAAGTGAATCAGTTATACATACACATATATCCCCATATCTCTTCCCTCTTGCATCTCCCTCCCTCCCACCCTCCCTATCCCACCCCTCTAGGTGGTCACAAAGCACCAAGCTGATTTCTGTGTGCTATGCGGCTGCTTCCCACTAGCTATCTATTTTATATTTGGTAGGGTATATATGTCCATGCCACTCTCTCACTTTGTCCCAGCTTACCCTTCCCCCTCCCCATATCTTCAAGTCCATTCTCTAGTAGGTCTGCGTCTTTATTCCTATCTTGCCCCTAGGTTCTTCATGACCTTTTTTTTTTTTCTTAGATTCCATATATATGTGTTAGCATATGGTATTTGTTTTTCTCTTTCTGACTTACTTCGCTCTGTATGGCAGACTCTAGGTCCATCCACCTCGCTACAAATAACTCAATTTCATTTCTTTTTATGGCTGAGTAATATTCCATTGTATGTATGTGCCACATCTTCTTTATCCATTCATCAGTTGATGGACAATTAGGTTGCTTCCATGTCCTGGCTATTGTAAATAGAGAGGCAATGAACATTGTGGTACATGACTCTTTTTGAATTATGGTTTTCTCAGGGTATATGCCCAGTAGTAGGATTGCTGGGTCATATGGTAGTTCTATTTTTAGTTTTTTAAGGAACCTCCATACTGTGCTCCATAGTGGCTGTATCAGTTTACATCAGAATGCATCCACTTTTGTTTTTACCTTCTGTATCCTTGAGCTATGACTGCAGAAGTTCAAATATTTTTCTTGGTTTGTTTCTTTAATTGATATTTAGCCATAGCAACTTGGCAACAGTAAACTTTAGTGTTTTTATATTTGCTTGGCAATATTTGTATATTACTATAAATGACTAATGAGATTTATATTTCATAAGCCAGATATATATATATATATATATATATATATATTTTGGCGGTACGCGGGCCTCTCACTGCTGTGGCCCCTCCCGTTGCGGAAAACAGGCTCCACATGCGCAGGCTCAGCGGCCAAGGCTCACAGGCCCAGCCACTCCGCGGCATGTGGGATCCTCCCGGACCTGGGTACAAACCCGCATCCCCTGC